GTCATACTTCAGACATATTGTCAGGCGGGACCAGTCACTGGAGAGGGGTATCATGTTTGGTAAGGTGGATGGTCAGAGAAAAAGAGGAAGACCCCCAGCGAGATGGATTGGCAAAGTGGCAGCATCAATGGGCTCAAGTGTAGCAACAATTGTGAGGTTAGACCAGGACCCGGCAGTGTTTTGTTCTGTTGTGCATAGGATCGCTCCGAGTCGGTACCGACTCAATGGCATCTAACAATAACAACATTTATTCTTAGTGTGGCACTGTAGGGTAAGCACTGGAATACTAACTGAGATTGGCAGTCCAAACCTACCAGCTGCTCTTTGGAAACCATATACAGGGTCTCTATGAGTTGGAACCAGCTTGACAGCACTTAACAACAAGAAAAACAACAGTTAGTCAATAGTAGTTCCACACTGGCTTAAAGCTGTGTCCCAGATGGTGATAATACCTAAGGACAAATGGGTGAGAAACCCAGTTAAACTAGAACTGCCTTATCATGACTTTAGGTGGAGGCTTGATTCTCCAGCTCAAACCCCCCCTGCACCCACTTCTACCTCTATATCCTCCCACACACACACCTGGCAGGGCAGCAGGGCTGCTGTTGCTATGGACCCAAGTCTCATTTGAACCTGTGTCTTCCTCAGACCTGAGTTTCCTGCACTCAGTCCCAGCCCCTGGGCTGCCACCCTGTGGCCACAGCTGGATATAGCATCTCAGCCTGGTCTTGGCCAGGAGGGAAGGTGAGAGGGTACAATGCCTGCCAAAGACCCAAGGGCCTTTCCCTTCCCTGACACAGTGCTCTCTGCTTCCTGTGCCCTATCAAGGGCATTTGAGTTCACACATTTCCTGTACACTACAAGACAGTTTTGGCCTCTGGGGAGGAGATAGGGATAAATGTGTACTTTGGAGCCATCCTGATGTGGCACTTGATGTAGGATAAGTACTGGACTGCTAACCAAAAGGTCGGTTGTTTAAATCTACCAGCTGCCCCTCAGAAACCCTGTATAGGGTCGTTGGAGCGCTGGTAGCATAGTGAGTCACATGTTTTTATTACTAACAATGAGGTCAGCCGTTTGAATCCATCTGCGGCTCCTTGGAGAAAGAAGAGGCCTTCTGCTCCTGTAAAGATTTACATCCTCACAAACCCTGTATGGGGCACTATGAGTCAGATCAGCAATTAACAACAACCACATGAGCTCTGGTAGCGTAGTGGTTACGAATCGGGCTGCGAACCTTAAGGTTAGTGGTTTGAAACTACCAGCTGCTCTGCGGGAGAAAGATGAGGCTTTCTACTCCCGTAAGGATTTACACCCTCGGAAACCCTGTACAGGGTCGCTATGGGTCGGAACCGACTCGATGGCACTTAACAACAACAACAACAACATGAATTGAAATCGATGGCAGTGGATTTGGTTTTGTGGATTTATGAGGTCAAGTAAGGATCCCTGGTGGCACAGTGGCTGTTAACCACAAGGTTGGAGGTTCAAATACACCAGCCATTCCATGGGAGGAAGATGTGGCAGTCTGATTCTGTACACTGGCAGTTCTATCCTGCCCTGTAGATTACTATGAGCTGAAATCAACTCGATAGCAGTGGATGTGAGGTCACTCAGTTCATGGTGCTATGAAGATAAAGCAGGTAAAGGTGTGGGGGGCATATGGTTCGAATGTAACAAGGGGCAGGCCCCAACAGAGAGGCATGAGTGAAATGAGGAGTGAGACACATAGGTAACGGGAAGAATATTAACACTGACGTTACAGTCCAATTGCTGTCACTAAGTAATATACCACCCTAAAATGTAGTGACTTACAACAGCCATTTTTAAAATACAGTTCTGTGGATCAAGACCCACTGGGGTCTCATGTGGTTGCAGCCATCTGGGGCTGCAGCTGACCTGACTGCTCCCTTATGTAGGCGGCAGGCAATGGATGCTGACTTGATTGAAGCATTTGTAGGACCTGCACCAGCCAGGGGACAGGCAGTCCCAGAACCAGTGAACTGCTCTCTGGAACCTGGCTACAGGACTTTTCTTCTAGCCTGGCCTTGAAGGCCTCACAACTGCACTTAGCAGCAATCTCTTGTTGGTTATCCCAGACTTATTTGTAGGAAGTGACAAAAAAATTGCAGACATTTAAAAAAAAAAAAGAAACTTTTTATGGTGAGTTGAGTGAAGTTTGCAGATATGATCATCAGTTTTACGTTCAACAAATCATGGACTCTGTTTCATCTCAGTGATGGCATCCCCGACTCCATGTAACAATAGTTATTCCATGTCTTCCCTTTGGTTATTTCCATTCCACGCTCCTTCCCATCCCTTCTCAAAGTTGTCCTTAGATAAATGCTGCCCTTTTGATCTTGAATGGTTGACATTCCATGGTGAGCACGCCTTGTTGTTGTTATGTTCTGTGGAGTCGGTTCCGACTCATAACAACCCTGCACAGGGTTTCCAAGGATGTAAATCTTTACAAGAGCAGAAAGCCTCATCTTTCTCCCGCGGAGCAGCTGGTAGTTTCGAACTGATGACCTTGAGGTTAGCAGCCTGATTTGTAACCACTACGCTACCTGAGCTCTTTGAGTAGTGTTTTTTTTGTCCCCACTATGTACTATCTGGAGTCCGGGTGTGGCGCTGTGGGTTAATGCGCCTGACTGCAAAGCCATTTGAACTGCAAGATCAGCAGTTTAAGCTCACCAGCTGCTCCTCAGAAACCCTATACAGGGTCACTAAAAGTCAGAATCGACTCGACGGCACTTAGCAACAACATGGGCCATGAGGATGAGCTCTCTCCCAGACCTGAAAGGTAATAGAAGGCATAGTCTGGGGCTCCGCCAGTCGCTTTCTGACCAGTAAGCCTGGTCTTTTTCTTTATTGTTATTATAATTTTGAGTTTTGTTCCACAT